TTGTCATCAATGCTCTCTTTCAATGCCCCTATTCCACACAGACCACGAATCCCACAAATCGCCACGAATTGACACATTTGAAGATTCGTAGTTGAATAGTAATCATTTCGTGAAGTTCTTAAATAATTCGTAATATAGTCGTAGTCAGTTCTTGCATTTCTTGAGCAATCGGGAATTCGTGTCAAGAGTTTTGAACTGTTCAAAATTTTGGCTACGAACTCCCGATTTAAAATAGTCGTAGTTCATTCGTAACAAATTCGTAGTGCATTCTTATTCATCGTAAACTAATCGTAATCGAATCGTAGGTATTTTTAACTCATTCGCAGATTACTCAATTCGTGGCCTGACCGTGAATCGGCAACGAATCTGTCACGAATCCCTCAAGTACACGCCGAAGCAGGTACGAAGCAAGTAAGAACTAGTAAGAAAATCAGCTACGAATGCCGACAAATTGGGTATATAAGGAGTTTAACATTGACTTCAGATCATTAGCTGCTGACGATTGTGCCACGTATCCATAATCAGCAAGAATATACTTAGATAAGTATTTCTGTCTTTCAGTTTTATATAATACCAATAAAACTTGAAAAAAGATATAAAAAAAGTCCAAACTTTGTTTTTTGTTTGCGATTCCTTTACCACTGCTCGGTCCGAACAGAAATTTTGAGAAATGGATTTGGGCAATGTGAAGATTGAAAAAAATACATTCATGGCAGAAAGCAGAAATTTTACCATAGTGTTCTAGGGAGTTGTTGTGCCAGGAGTCAGTAAAGCGGTACAAGCCCTCTTGGGCTTCTTGTTTTAATAAACGGAACATTTTATCAGCGCTAACGAACATTAATAAACACTATGAACACAAATAGTAAAACATTTTAACATGAAATATCAACAGTTATCATCAGTTAACATTCACTCCTGCTAGTCTATCTTGACCTCCTGGCACCAGGGATGTTGTTGTGGTCCTCATCCTCCCGGTCCACATCTGCATTTCTAATGACAGGGAACCTGATCCTCAATAAGTTGTGGAGTTTGACTCCTGTCTCCACCAGTAACCGCACCACATCAGGTCCTTGTTCCAGGGTGCCCAGGAAGCATCTAAATCTGTTGGCCAGAATTCCGAAACCATTCTCCACCACACGTCTGCCCCTGGATAATCTGTTGTCAAGGCCCCTCCTGCTATATGGTTACATGAGGAAAGTCCTCAGTGGAAAAGCATCATCCCCAAGGATGTTGTAGGGTGTGTCTCTGTCATCAATGGGTAGGAGATCGCTGTCAGGGAAGTTTATGGTGTTGACATCATTGCACTCTTTCAGTTCTGAAGCATCAAACAACTGTGCGTCGGATTGGTAACCTTCTCACCTTCACCAGTGTCTATCCAGATAAACTTATAGTCCGCATCCAGCAGGGCCAACAGCACCACGGAGAAGAAGCCTTTGTAGCTGAAGAACACACTGCCTGAGTTGTGTGGTTTCCTGATGGCTATGTGCTTGCCATCCAAGTCCCCCGGGACATGAGGAACTGGGACTTCTCGGCAATGGCCTTCCAGTCCTCCTGGGTCATTAGTAGTGGCATGAGGTCATCCTTCAGCTCTTGTATGATGGCCTGCACAGTCCATACCACTGTGTGATACCAGTCTCCTGTAGCCAGGTGTCTGAGGGTCATGGCTAGTTTCATTCCGGCATCAAGGGCTGGTCTCATGTGGGTGTCCCTCCTCTTGATGACAGGGCTAATCCTGTTCAGTAGCTCATCAAACATGTGGGGTGGCATTCTCATCTTCCATCCTCATCTCCTGCATCAGTCTGTTAAAGCGACCATATTCTTGTTTTCTACCTGGTGTCGGCAACGGTCTATCCCACCACCTGGGTGCTCTTCTCCTCCTCCTTCGACGCAGTCTTCTTCTAGCAATCAGCAGCTGGTGTTAATACTCCAGTTCATCTCCCACGAATTGTCTAAAATAGTCACGAATTCATTTTTTCGTACCTGATTCATACGTGCATTCGGTATATTCTTAACTGATTCATAACTGATTCCTAACCTTCGGGAAGTATTCGTAATAGATTCCTTTAAATCGTAGTGAATTCTTGACAATATTCGTGCGATTCCAGCCAAATCCCACGAATATTCGTACCTGCATCGTACCTGTATCGTAACTGAATCGAATTGAACCAGAAAATTTGCACAATTCTTTATATCCGCTCGAATCCTCAAATTTATCAATTCGTGACGATTCCTGGGATTCGTGGTCTGTGTGAAATAGGGGCATTACGCCGCCTTTATCCACTTTCCAGTAATATCACGGCTGGGGACACAGCAAATGGGTTCCTCAAGGGGGGAGTCAAACCCTGGTCTTCAGTGTGACGGGCGAACGCTTTAACCACTAGGCTATCCCACAGCCTGCTCACAACGGTGCCGGTGAGGCAACATATACAAAGAAACACTGATTAACCATCTCTTACCATACATTCAGTATATAGCTGGTCTCCGCTCCACAAGTGACCGTGACAGTAAGGCGATGGTCACTACCATACTACAGAATGGACTTTTAAGTGTCTTAGCAATAACATTGCATTGTGAATTTGTGCAATGGGGTTCTGAGTATTTTAAGTATTAAGTATTTAAGTATTATCCATTAATGAAAAAGATCGTTTGTTTTGCTTACAAAGTGAGTGAGTGAGTTTAGGTTTACGCCACACTCAGCAATATTCCAGCTATATGGCAGTGTTCTGTAAATAATCGAGTCTGTACCAGACAATCCACTGATCAACAGCATGAGCATCGATCTGCTCAATTGGGAACCGATGACATGTGTCAACCAAGTCAACGAGCCCGACCACATGATCCCGTTAGTCGCCGGACGTCAGACCATTTGCCGGTTGTATCGAACCTTTATTATCTTATGACTACATTAAACCCTCATGATGCATTAAACGTTCTCCCCCAGCTATGAGAAATGTGTATTGATTATTATGTCGACTACCTTTATACAGCGTCGTAAGAGGCGACTAACGGATCGGTTGGTCAGGCTCGAGACTAGGTTGACACATCTCATCGTATCCCTAATTGTGCAGATCGATACTCATGCTGTTGGTCACTGTGATAGCTGGAATATTGCTGACTGCGGCTGTAAACACCAATCAAATGATACAGCCATAACGCATAATCAAGGAGAAAGAGCTTGACGATGATTCATATTTTTTTAATCTTGTCATATGGATTGTTCTTGGTGTGTTGGTTCAGTTGTTCCTAGGAAGAAGATGTTGATGTCACAGAGTGAGTGAGTTAGTTTGAATTTACGCCGCTTTAGCAATATTCCAGCAATATCACGGCGGGGACACCGAAATGGGCTTCACACATTTTACCCATGTTGGGAATCGAACACGGCCTTCGGCGTGACGAGCGAACGCTTTACCCACTAGGCTACCCCACCGCCCCTGATGTCACAGATGTTGACGAAGAGATCATGACTGATATCAACAACAACAAATGTGGCTATGGTTGTCAAACAAAATGAATACTGCACCATGTGGGACAATATGTTGTGTCTTACTGCTTTTACACGTGTACCAATCAAAACCTCTTGAAAAACAGATTTCGTCATTATAGACAGGCATGTGAAGTTGCCGCCTCCCTCGTCAGTGCTTTCTGAGATGTTGATGACGATCGATGCTGGGAAACTATGATATGGCATAAACTAGCTTAACCTTCAGTTAGATGGGATGACACTGACATCCACAGAGCGAAACTAGTTTTATTGTCAAACTCAAAAATTTTCTCTATAAATCTTCATTATAACTCGTGAACGAGCACTGATAAACTTGTGTCGGTACAGATGTGTGCGTTATTTTACGAACAGATCATCAGTAGAATGACGTATCCCGATACTGGCATATCAGAATTAAAGTGTTATTATGAATGATCAATAACAGGTCATCTTTAAACCATAGACTTTTTACATAAGGACATGTCAGCTTCCCCCCTCTGATGAAACACACGGGTGCAGGCCCAGCTATGCCGTTGACAGAACAAGGAACAGATTTGGGCCAGATGGTGACTAAGGCTTATAATAAGTCCCGGAATATATATAATTTTGATAATAACAATTAAACCCATTTAAATTGAAAAGGAGCCCCAGTGAGTTGGGGGATTCAGGGAAAATCTAGACTTGCTTCATTTAGCATTGCAGGGAAACTAGGCAGAAGGGAAAATAGTGTGAGACAGACTAATGTTGACATATAGTACTTACAGGTCAGACAAACGTTACTGACATTTTTAACTGAACAGAACATACTGTCACGGGAACCAAATGCTACATGAAATTACAAGCGACAAACCTGTTTCCACGTCTATACGAAATCTCTTCTACAATTGTCCAACAACGACTTTATCATGAGAATGTGCTCATGAATTACAATCAAATAGTGATGATACCAGGTGTTCGTAGAAAGGTGAGCGTACCCTGCCCCACCCTTGCAACCACCATCAACAGATACAAAGGCGGCTAAATGTTACCACGAGAGCACTGCATTGTACACGAGCAAACTTCTATTATAATGGCATTGGGTCTGGAAGGGTTATTTCCCTTGAATTATTATGAAAATTATAATGAGAACCCGTGAAGGTCCGGGTTAGAATTGATCTTCATTAACCCATGCTTGTCGTAAGAGGCGACTAACCGGATCGGGTGGTCAGGCTCGCTTGACTTGGTTGATTACATGTCATCGGCTCCCAATTGCGTAGATCGATGCTCATGCTGTTGATCACTGGGTTATCTGGTCCAGACTCGATAAGTTTACAGACTGTCGCCATATAGCTGAGAGCGACGTAAAACTAAACTCACTTACTGATAAATGTTTCGTGAAAGGATTACAGCACGTAGGCAGTAGGCAATGTGTGCTCCCATCCTGATTTGTTTCACTTTGACTGTTTGACTTTCTACCCAAAAATCGGCATAAAAACTCACGTGCAAGTATTTTTCAACTACCCAACAACACAAACACGAATAGATATGAACATTTAATTTGCTTAACGAAGGTGTATGTAAAGCATGTCTGTCAGGGCTGGCAGGTTGCCATTGATGATAACGAGGTCGGTCTTGGTGTTCCCGCAAATGTCACCCCAAACTGTCACACTCCCTCCACCATATGGTTCCGTTTCCTGAATGCAACAACGTGCCGTCCGCCCCACGCCGTCGGTAGACACATGCTTCGACCGTCAGTTCTGTTCATATGGAACCTACACTCCGACACATGCTTACTTGTATTGTTTAATTTCTTCTATAGTTTAAACCTTATTGTTTTTCTTTCCGTACATTGTGTATAGTGGTGTATTCTCGTAATGCTTTCACTTCAGTTATTTTGAAACAAACAGCCTCTACTGAAAACAATGCATGTCGCTGATTGGGAAGATGTAGATTTGGTCGGCGGGCGTGCAGCAGCTTGTGGAATGGTCAGGCATTCTTGTCACGTTGAACGTTTTGGACAACGCCATGTGAATCTCCAACAACATAGTGCGACCCTGCAAGAGATAACGATATATATTTTGAAAATACATTGGAAACGCGATAACGTTTGGAATACCTATTGTAAATATAGAAGACCTTATACTAAATACGACTATATCAGCGAAGATGCAGATTTTACTCATTTTGAATGATAACCTACATAGTAGAAAGTCTGTGACTAAGAGTGTACCATTTGCAAATGCTATTTTTCTTGTTTTGGCATACAGAAAATCAGCTTGAAAATAAAATTGTTATCCAAAATTGGAAAAGGCGTTATCCCAATTTAGTCTTACACTCTACATTTAGAGTCAGTATAGGGATAACCTAAGGTGGCCTATCAGTTAAAGCGTTCGCTCGTCACGCCGAAGGCCCGGGTTCGATAACCCCACATGGGAACAATGTGTGAAGCCCATTTCAGGTGTCCCCGGCGTGATATTGCTGGAATATTGCTAAAATCGGCGTAAAATTCACTTTACTCGTTACACGTGTACCAGTCCAAACATGGGTACAATATGTGATGCCCCGCCGTTATATTGCTGGAATATCGCTAAAAGTGGCATAAAACTAAACTCACTCATTAACAGGGTAACTAGTGTCATTATACATACAGAGATTAATGAGTCTGGATTATCTGCCGAAACAGATTTCACTGGGCGTGAAAGGCCTTGGTGATGACAGATTATAGGAATGTACCACTGGCAATCGTCGATCACATGGGTGTTCGCCAAAAGGGAGCGTATGTCCGGTCTTATCCCACTCTCAAAACAATGTGCACCCATAAAAGTACAAATTTTACGATTGAACAACTTGTAAAACAAAGCGAAGTTACTCTGGTTACTTCTGTCTGGATAAAGCTGGAATACTACAGTACACCTTCATTATAACTGCTTGTAAATAGTGGTGGTGGGGTAGCCTTGTGGTTAAACGCAGAAGACCCGGGTCTCGATACTCCAGGTGGGTACAATGTGAAGCCCATTTCTGGTGTCCCTCGCCGTGACATTGCTAAAGAGGCGTAAAACCACACTCACCGTTTGTAAATATTTCCTAATTTTTATGTGGTTTATATCAGATCTATGTGCAGTGCTCTGACGGACGATAGTCTCAGTTTCGACTTTACGATCAATGGAATCTGTTTCGGCAGATAATTCCTTCAGTAACATAGTTACGTGTCTCTGCCTTGCACATATTATCTTCAGGGAGTGTCCAACCGGAAGTACTCCATGAGAGCCTTTTGTATGGCATTGACCTGTAAAGTAGAACAAGCTATGAAGAACATCATGACTATGTTATTCTACTCTATAAACATGTACCACTGCCGTCGGAAACATTAATCTGCGATGCAATATTTTGATCTGAATAAGCGTAACTTCCAACGGAGAGTGAGGGTCATGGTAAAGCACATGGTCGATAATGAACCACCCGCTCATGCTGAAGCACAGGGACGATATTAGTACACGTGCATGTCTATGTCAGGCAGACCACAGTTGCGAGATTGACTTAAAAACCTGCTTTGATTCAGTGGGAATGCGTTTAGAAGCAGATCGCTATTTTGTAAACAATTTACTCACGGAGTATGCCCTTGTGCATGATGGAGTGATTCCAACCTTCTCAAGCGCCCTGTAAAAATACATATCATGCGTGAGATGAGGTGAAGTGTGAATTCCACACAGGCGTCTGTTTGTCTGTCTGTCTGTGTGCTTTGGGTGTCTGTGTGCTTTGGGTATCTGTGTGCTTTAACCTGTACGCACTAACTGAGATACCATGTCGCACTTTACCATTGATTATCCGATATCCAAGTCACACGCACGCACGCACGCACGCACACGCACGCACGCACACACACACGCACGCACGCACACACCCCACAGTATACAGAGTCAATCAGTTCGTGTGTTTTCATCATTTTGTCGACCGCCAGGCTGAGAAACAACATCATCACCCCTTCCGGTAATATCGGCTAAGGCTGAAACTACCCGACCGGGGATTGCACCTTTAACCTTTCGTAAAACGCTCAAACGAGGACACATACCAGTCAATCAGTCATCTCGTTAGTCACTTCCTTTACTGTTGTGTGAAGCCCATTTCTGGTGTCCCCGCCGTGATATTGCTGGAATATTGCTAAAAGCGGCGTAAAACCATACTCAACCACTTACTCTTTTCACTATTATTTCTTATTTTCTGTTGTCAGTGAGTTAAAGTTAATCGTTGGAAATATGCCAACCGTATACTTATTGGCAAATGCCTAGTGAGCAGGTTTCAGACGCCAAGATCAAATATATGACTACCACATCACAATACCAGAGGTCGGTGTAGTGAAAGTAAGCGATTACAAAGTCACATTTTACACGTAAGTGTATCGTGAGACAAGGCAATAGTGTTTAATGCAAAACAACCCACGTTTGGGGATTAAATGCAGTTACACTGTTGAGACTCAGAGCCTTTTGAAAGTACCGAAACTCATTGTTCGTGGCTTCCAGGGTTTGCTGCGCATGTACCGTGGGCTGTCCATTCATGTTTCCTGAAACGTAGTGAATACATACGGTGCATGTACATTGTATGGGTGTAAAATTCGAGTACAGATGGTGGGTCAGTACATGGAGTTAGATGATGTCACAGCACCATAGGTCGGTCACTGTGGTAACTGAATAAATACTGCGTTTTATCATTGCATTGTATCTGTACAATTGATCGATGTGCAGTTTAGAAAAACCTCATCTCTCGGAAATTATACAACCTATAAGCGCGGCATCGTAAAACACACTAATGGTGACCCTATAACAAGCATGTGCAGACGTACATAGTACAATATTAAACGTACCACCATTTGTCTATACCAAGCAGGTGTTGACGTACAGAGTACAATGTTAGACGTACCACCAATGGTCTACAGCAAGCATGTGTTGGCGTATAGAGTGCAGGTACAATGTTTAGATATGGGGTGCCATTTTAGATGTACCACCAATGGACTGTAACAAGCTGTGCAGACGTACAAGCAACGTTAGACGTACCACCAATGGTCTACAGCAACATGTGTTGAGGGTACAGAGTACAACGTTAGACGTACCACCAATGGTCTATAACCAACCAATGGTAGGACGTACAGAAGTACAATGTTAGACGTACCACCAATGTCTACAGCAGGCATGTGTTGGCGTATAGAGTACCATTTTAGATGTACCACCAATGGACTGTAACACGCATGTTAGAGACGATACCGCAGAGTAGCAACGTGGTAGACGTACATACCACCAATGGTCATACAACAGCAGCATGTGTTGTTAGACGTACAATGGAGTACAACGTTAGACGTACCACCAATGGTATATAACAATGGTCTACGACAAGCATGTGTTGACGTACAGAGTACAATGTTAGACGTACCACCAATGGTCTACAACAAGCATGTGTTGACGTTAGACGTACCACAATAAGTACATAACAATGTTTAGATTACAATTTTAGAACGTACCACCAATGGTCTACAACGTAAGACGTACATGTGTTGACGTACCAGAGTCACAACAAACAGGTGTTGGGAATTCCACAGAGGTAGGTACCACCAATGGACTATAGCAAGCATGTGTAGACGTACAGAGTACAATGTTAAATGATACCAGCAATGGACTACAACAAGCATGTGTTGACATTGCAGAGTACAACGTTAGACGTACCCACCAATGGTATATAACAAGCAGGTGTACATGTACAGAGTACAACGTTAGACGTACTACCAATGGTCTATAACAAGTATGCATTTGACATACCAGTACAATGTTAGACGTCCACCAATGGTCTATAACAAGCAATTGTATACGTATAGAAGTGCAATGTTAGACGTACCACCAATGGTCTGTAACAAACGGAGGTGTAGACGTACAGAGTTACAATGTTAGACGGTACCATCTATGGTCTATAACACGCTACTATGTATGTTAGCCAATGTTCAACGTCAAACCAGCTCCCTTTGTCCGGATATTAATCCCGAGAATCATTTCAGATTAACGCATGACTTGCGTATTACGCGTAGTAAGTGTTAAGCTGTATTGTACACTGAAAGGCCACAGGGGCATAGTAAGATCCTGTTTTCTTCAGTTGTTGCATATATATGTAAAACGCTTCACGTTGAGAATTAACATAGCATTGTCCTTTTAACGCAAAAATGTGTAAAATCGCTATCATCACCACCACAGAGCTGGGTGAAGTTCGTGTCCACAAACAGGTTGGGCCAGTTTGTCTCTAGTTGTTTTGGAGGCTGAAATATTGAAGACGCAAAAGTGTAAAAGGCACATAGGAAGAATATTTATTATTCACTTTAGAGTAAACATTAGCTGGTACATCTGAGCTCCCAGAATGTAGATAGATATCTCCAGATAGGGATACTGTCGCGCTGTCGCGCTGTCGCCCTCCTCAAAAACGGAAGCTAAAAGAGGCCAAAATTAGCCAAACTTCGCGATTTGGTCGTACTGTCGCCCTTTGGACGAATAGAAAATATTATTCAAAGGAAACGTTAATAATAGCATACAACGCGCGACAACGATCCTTCTAGAATTCCATATATATCTGATCAGGGAGCAGTTCAATAATAGTACATTGGGGAAAATATAATATCACACTCCACCTTGATTCTGGACTCATTCCACCGTACCAACTGTCTCTGCGACTTTCGACACAATGTTTCGCCTATATCTGGCCTAACACAGGATAAGAAAGAAAGTTGCTAATATTTTTAATTTTATGTACATCTACTTCATAACAATCGTTAAATTAGCGTAATCCCCAAACCTGTTGGTTAGAATGTGTCTTGTCAACTCCATGCTTGTCAAGAGGTACACTAACCGGATCGGGTGGTCAGGCTGAGCTGGCTTGGTTGGACACATGGCATCGGTTCCCCCATTAACGCAGATCGATGATCATGCTGTTGATCGCACTGGCTTCCGTCAGGTCCAGACTCGATTATTTTACAGACCAACGCCATATAGCTGGAATATTGCTGAGTGCGGCGAAAAACGCCCAAAACACACTCACTCACTCACACTAAATTAGTAGTGTAACATTTGTATTTCAAACTCTTCAAACTGCGTCATATGATCATCAGCAGGTTTCATTAAAGTCTGTCTAGGGCTGTATATAATGAATACCCTCCTCCTAAAGGGATGTTCTTGGACTATTCCCGTTTTCTTTAGTTGTATTCCAGTTACCTGGTACGTATAACATGTGTTTCCTTAATAAATATATTATTATAAATCATAATTGAGTACGTGAGGAAAGAGATTGAAACCGCTTCTAGCAATATCCCAGGAACACGGCTGAAGGACTCTGGCATTTGTACCCATGCGTTGGAATCAACTTGCCAGTGCGATACCCGTAGTCCAAAACCATAAACGAGCGAGGAAACATAGGCTGTGAGAGAATGTGGCTTAGAGATGGATTCTACGCGTGTTGGGCGTGACGAAGCTAAGCATGACGGTGGGAGACACCACACATGGACCTCTAAGTAACTGTACCTAAGACAGTTACTAAACCTTCGGCGTGTGACGAGAGAGAGCGCTTTACAATTCCTAGACTAATATAGAGAGAAACGAACCTCGGGTCTTCAATACGACAAGCGAACGCTTCAACCAACAGCTAATTCCCAATTCTCCCTTTAGTCAATATGAACATGTTGTGCGTTTTAGTGCACTTTGAAATCAATTTTAAACTTACAAATCTATGTGTTGGCTTGGACTATTATTCAGCAATAAGTATTGGTTAAATAATTATATCTGGTGTGATGGCGCGTTTGGTGGGAAGTTCAAGACTACATAGGCCGTGCACCGTCCATGTTTTCACTGGTTTGGGAAGGCCTTTGCAGTGCTGAAAAAATACATTGTGACACTTGAGGAGAGGTAGATCATCATGTCCCAACTGGACACAAATACACAGAGTATCGCGCAACTGTACATTTCGAGGAAACCCCTAATAAACCTCGGAATTCAATAACCGCACCTCTTGGTTCAGCGTGTCCAGCTGGTTCAGCTATCAATTGGCGGTAATTGTTACTGATCCACCGTCAAGTCATCAATTCACCATGTGGTACTTGTAATGATAAGATTGTTGTAATTAAAGTTAACACAGCAATTCCCCCCGTTGTCTGTTGCAGGACAACAAACCGCAATAGTTTGCACCGATACGCTGTGCAACACCTTCTCTAAAGTCACACTTCTTTACAAGTAACGCACCCGTTCCGACAATAATGCGAGCGGGTTTAGTTTAACGCCGCATTCAACAATATTCCAGCTACAGCGGTCTGTAAATAATTATGCTAACATTTGTATATTGCCGATATCCAGCTCAGCTCAGTCGCTCAAAGACGCTTTGTTTTTAATCGAGTCTGACTGTGACCATCCCGTGATCACCAGCATCAACATCAACTGCAATTGGGATACCAGCTTTTATTTTGCTACAACCAATCCAGCGAGCCTGACCCCACCAGATCCTGCTAGGCGCTTCTGACGACAAGCATGGCTTTACTGAAGATCAATTCTAACCCGGACCTTCACGTCCAGATAATAGAGAATTGTACCATAAGGCTGCATTCAGAATTAACTCATCAACTCCCCTTTGAGACTACTGATCACAAGTGATGATAGCGGGCCTATAATGTCAGCACCGAAGCGATAGTGGATGTATTTTCCATACGGGAGTAATTCCGTGCAGGTGTATCAATGAATGACAGCACAACCTAAACGTAATCGTCTCACCAGTAATTACCTACCATATATGATTACCATGTAGCAAGCTGTTACTCTTTGGGATCTGAGCATATACACCCAAATCCATTTATAAAAGAATAAACAGTTACAACAAACGTACACGCATTTGTGGTGCATCACAAAAGCATATGGCTTAATTTTGCGCAAAAGACGAAATACGTCCACTTTGTCCCAACTGATGGCCCCAGGTAATGATATACAAGCATGCTACCTTTGCATACAATAGATACCACTGGTACACTTTGACCTGGTAGTCTAACCAATGATATGTAAGAAGCATGTACCTTGTATACGGATACCTCTATGGGTCACTTTGACCTACGATAGTGTAGTAATGATATAAGTAAATGTACCTTGTATACAGATACCATTGGGTCACTTTGACCTAGTAGTCTAGTAATGATGTATAAACGTGTACCCCCGTTAGTGATATACTCAAGAACTTGGATGGCCGTGATACAGTGCCAAGATCCCGTGAGTGACGGTATATACCTTGACGGCGTTTTATACAGTGCTAAGATCCCACAGTGACGGTATATACCTTTAATGGGGCTTTTACAGTGCTAAGATCCCATTAGTGACAGTATATACCTTGATGGCAATTTTTTTAGGAGTGCTAAGACCCCGTTAGTGATGAGTATATATACCTTGATGGCAGTTTTGTAGTCTTCTAGACCCCCGTTAGTGATCAAAGATCCCATTAGTGACAGTATATACCTTGATGGCAGAT